AACAAAATCACTCGGGTAATGAGTAATACTCAGAAAACTTTAACATCCTCGACAACTTGGATTTAGCAATTTATTGCCTCAGATACGAGTATATATAATAGTGAATGAGGAAGTACTAATGGACAGATCCTGACACAGCTCTGAGGTGAGATCTGGGACAATGGGCGCACCACAATATTAACTTACATTGCATAGTTTATCTACATATACAATATATTATAACAGCAGTATCAAAGTAATTATTCACTGCTTCCCTTCGCGATTTAAGTGATAATAGTGAATAACATCTCGTAATATAAGTTGCTCGAAATGTGATTTGATAGGCTTAATGAATGATGCTGATACAGTCATTTTTCAATTTATATTTATTAAATAGCATATAAAATGGTATTTGTAAACACAAACGTCATAACAGTTTTTCAGTTAGGCAGAAGTTTAAATGTGCTTATTGTAATGTGATTATGCATACGAGAAAGGAATATTCAGAACATCTTAAAACGCACAAGGAATATGGTTGCACTTGTACCGAATGTGGAAAGAAATTCCGTTCCCTAGGAGGATTTCTAATGCATAAAGAAGTGCATCAGCCTAAACATCATTGTGAAAATTGTAACAAGTCTTTTACTTATAAGAGTACACTACGATCGCACAAGCAACAATGTCACGAAGTTAGGGGTTAGTTTCGCAATGTTTATGTTTGACAAAAGAAGTTTTGTAACGCATTTGTTCACTTGGAAATGCATTGCAAAACATTTACGATAGTGAAGTGACAATTCAAAATTCAATACTTACTACAATATTTTTCCAACTTTGGTAGATAGCTGTTGTCGTTTATCGCAGTTGGTGTTTGGTAATTACTGATGTGATAACGGAATTCAGGCAATTAGCGTCTCTACACTCCGATGAAATTAAATGGTGTTGACAATGTTGACAATAACGTCACCACTGATGCATCAAAATACTGAAAAATGCCAATAGAAAACGAATGCTCTATTGTATTCTTGAGTAATACTCGGAAAACTTTAAGTCAATGAGTAAACTCAGAAAACTTTAACATTCTCGACAACTTGGATTTAGCATTAATTGCCTCAGATGCGAGTACATGTAATAGTGAATGAGGAAGTACTAATGGACAAGTACCGGGAGCAAGTAATAAAAAATTATACAATGAAAAATCATTTTAATCTTTTCAGTTAAAATTCGAAACTTTCTTTCAAGATTCAATACTTCAGCTGGACAGAAGTATGAATATCGTTTTTGCAATGCGACTATGCTGTCGTATGAGGAATGTTCAAAACATCTTGAAACGCACAAGAAATATAACTGCACTTGGCCCGGATGTGAAAAGGAATACCGTTACGAAAGGAATCTTCGAGAGCATTACGAAACACATAAATCTAAATTTAAATGTGAAAATTGTAGCTATTTATTTTCTACTAAGCGTACACTACGAATGCACAAACAACGAATCCACGGAGTTGGAGGTTAGTTTTGCAATGTTTATATTTATTAAAAGAAGTTTCAACGTGTTTGTGTGTTGCAAAACATTTACGACAGTGTAATGGCTATTCCAAATTTAATTCTTTCTGTAATATCTTTCTAACCTCAGCAGATAGCTTCTTATCATTTATCGCAGTTGGTGTTCGGCAATTACTGATGTGATAATAAACGGAGTGGCAGAATTCAAGCAAAAAATAGAGTACATCACTCGATCCACGGAACCAAACGGCCACTAACCACTCGTTCCGTTTGACTCAGTGAGATAATATCTAAGAAATGTTCATTCTAGGCTCAATCGAAGGAAATCCGCAGTTGGGAGACGCAAGAAACCATTACATTGCCGGTCAAAGTTCATTGGGTCAACAAAATCACTCGGGTAATGAGTAATACTCAGAAAATTTTGACATCCTCGTCAACTTGGATTTAGCATTAATTGCCTCAGATACGAGTATATATAATAGCGAATGAGGAAATGCTAATGGAAAGTACCGGGAACAAGTAATAAAAAATTATATAATGACATACGTTTTAATCCCTTCAATTTATCCTTTACTCAATTATACGAAGTCGAAGATATAAGCTACAAGGAATCCCAAATCCGAAACCAATCTCGTTGCAGTGAAAAATTCAAAATCATTCCTCATCCCGACATTCTTCCATCAGAAGCCACACTGAGAATGAGTTTCTTGTTTCAAAAAACATGCGATCAAATTAGTCGTCACCGATTTTCTCCAGCCGTGACAAAGACTAAGGGTTCTTTCTGTCCCTTTAGTTGATAGTACCTCAAATTTCGGTGATTAAACCTTTAATACGAGAAATTTATTAATAGAATAATGAACTTGGGATTACGACATCGATAATTGTATCGATTTTAATGTCGAAAACATCATGAAGTAAAAAACCAAATAAAAAAAAGAAAAGGACCAAATGACCCTGATATCGCATATCCAATCAACTTCGACGAAATACACTTTTCCAAATGATTTTGGTGCTCAGGATTCTCTTCATCCTCGAATTCAGAGATCCCGACACAGCTCTGAGGTGAGATCTGGGACAATGGGCGCACCACAATATTAGCTTATATCGCACAGTTTATCTACACATACAATATATTATACCAGCAGTATCAAAGTAATTATTCATTGCTTCCCCTCGCGATTTAAGTGATAATAGTGAATAACATCTCGTAATATAAGTTGCTCGAAATGTGATTTGACAGGCTTAATGAATGATGCTGTTTATATTCATTTTCAAATTCATTTTTCGAATCATTTTTCAATTTTCAATTTGAAAACTTCTTCAATTTATATTCATTAATTAGCATATAAAATGGTATTTGTAAATACATGCATTATATCAGTTTTTCAGTTGAAAAGAAGTATGAATGTTGTTATTGTAATGCGACTACGAAGACGGCAAAGGAGTATACAGAACATCTTAAAACGCACAGGGAACATGGCTGCACTTGTACCGAATGTGGAAAGAAATTCTATTCTCTAAGTGGATTTCGAGGGCATAAAGAAGTGCATCAACCTAAACTTCATTGTGAAAATTGCAACAATTCCTTTTCTTATAAGACTACATTACGAAGGCACATGGAAAAATTCCATGGATTTAGAGGTTAGTTTTGCAAAGTTTATGTTTAGCAAAAAGAGTTTTAACGTACTTATTTACATGTTGCGAAGCATTTACGATAGTGAAGTGAGAATTCAAAATTCAATACTTACTGCAATATTTTTCCAACCTTGGTAGATAGCTGTTGTCGTTTATCGCAGTTGGTGTTTGGCAATTACTGATGTGATAATGAACGGAGTGACAGAATTCAGGCAATTAGCGTCTCTACACTTCGATAAAATTAAAGATGTTGACAATGGTGACAATAATGTCACACTGATGCATCAAAATACTGAAAAATGCCAATAGAAAACGAATGCTCTATTGTATTCTTTTCTACGCTTTCATGTTTTTTTAACACAAGTCAATCGAAATGTTATTTGATAGATTTAATGAATGATGCAATCATTTTTCAAATTATATTCATTAATTGGCATATAAAATGGTATTTGTGAACACAAAAGTCACATCAGTTTTTCAGTTAGGAGGAATTATGAATGTCGTTTTTGCAATGCGATTATGCAGACGAATGAGGACTATTTAAAACATTGTAAAACGCACAGGAAATATGACTGCACTTGGCCCGGATGTAAAAAGACATATTTTTACATGCGGAACCTTCGAAGGCATAACAAAACACATCAACCTAAACATCAGTATGGAAATTGTGGTAGTTCCTTTTCTGATGAGGATACACTACGAAGACACCAGCCACGATATCACGGAAGTAACCGTTAGTTTCGCAAAGTTTATGTTTAACAAACGAAGTTTTCAGCGTGTTTTGTGTTGCAAAACATTTACGACAGTGAAATACTTGCTGTAATATTTTTCTAACCTCAGTAGATAGCAAAAAAACGCTGAAATAATCTAAGATCGAAACTGTTCTCGCCTACACTAAATAATTCACAGCTATCCGTTGTACGAGATTCCATCAGATGTAACCATCCATCAGATATGACATTAAGACATAGATTCTGTCCAAATATATACAAAAAAAAGTGAATAGTTTTTCGTATTCTAAATCAATTGGAATGTGAACTTTGCCTTATGACACTGATATCTTCATGATCAGTTTTCAAATTAACTAACAAATTTAATGATGAGAAAAGTAATTGCAGTAATAGAAATAGAAATTCCGTAATCATTCATCATTATTTTCTTCCCACAAGGAAGTACATCAACCTAAATTAAAATGTGAAAAGTGTGGAGTTCCTCCAAACCGTAAGCGATCACTCAGAAGACACAAGAAATATTCCAGTAGAGCTTCTCGGTTTTACAAATTCAGCACAGTTATTAGCATTTTTATCTACCTGAAATGAATTTAGGTTAAAGTATGTTATGAAATATCAGTGATTGTGATGTGGAACAAATTGATCACTTTGCTTCACTCGATGAAGTGATATCCAAAAAATGTCCATTCTAGGCCCAGCGGAAGGAAATCCACAGTTAGGACACACTTCGGCTGACACTCGAAACCTTCACATTGCCGGTCAAAGTTCAGTAGGTCAACAAGATCGATCAAGTGATGAGTATCCTTTAAGAAAGTTGAATGGCTTCGACGATTGCGATGGTAGCATCTTCGACGATCTTGACATCCCCGACGATGTTGTTGTTGACGTCGAAGATATTAACATCGGCGATGATAACATCCTCGCAGACGCACGAAACGATCACATTGCTGGTCAAAGTTCAGTAGATCAACAAGACCACTCAAGTGATGACTATTTCTCAAAAAACTTTAACATCTTGGACTGCATTAACATCAACGATATTAATATCCTCGACGATTCCGACGTCGAGATTCTCGACGATTACGACTTTACAACACTTGATCGAGATATGGATAATGATCGCAAATCACCAGGAGAAGATAGCTGAAGATTTGATAGTGATATTTCCTTTGATTCCTGTTATGACACATTTTGTTGCCATGTCAAACCAAAAAGTGTGTTATGTTGAATATGATAGAAAAATTGTTGTAAAATAAGATAGTCATAATGATAATATGAATAATTTAATCAAATTATTTAATCTTTTTTATTGTAGTACAGATCACTAGGTTTGAAAAATATTATTCTATTTGGATGAAAACTTTTAACATATTAGTAAACTTGGAGTGATATTTTAACACTAAAAAAAAGCATAATTTCTAATAATCCTCATGATTCAAATTTTAATGCTCACAAACTGCTAAGATCATCGATTGGGAAGAACTAGCCAAATATATGTATTGACTATTATCTATTCTGAATTATAATTAGCTGAATTTTGTTTTTGACATTCAAATTTTTATGAAAAAATTTCTCTAAATTTGCATTTACTTTATCATTTATTAATGTTTTAACTATATAAAATGGTGTGATTTTTTCTTGAATTTCCATTCATTGCTGTAAAAGGTATCGATACAATTGATTGATTGTTTCTGTTTAATATCATGGAAATTGGTTGCATGGATGGGAAATGGTTACAGCTGATACAATCGATTGATGATGGAATTCAAACAGTTGCACGAAATGCTAATGTGTCACATGAAGTAATTTTATAATATCTAAGTAATAAATTAGATGAATTAAATCATGAAAAGAATATATATCCGTTAAGGTTACATATTATTGCTTTACCATGCCAAAAATATAAGATGAATATTTTCTAAGGCATTTCTATATTTGTTAAACAATTCATAAAAATTTTAATATCAAGGAAATTTAAATTTATTGCAGTAAAAAAATATGAGAGAAAAGGAATGTATTATCACTCACATATCCTCTTGCGATAACAGAAAAATTCGTTTCAGTAAAAATTATCACTAAATATAATACAATAAGCATATTTTTCGTTTTTGTGTCCAGAAATTCATTTCAGTAAAAGTATTAGAAAATACAGTATAACAGTAATATATAATTAGTATGATATAATAACTTAAAAATTAAATAAAAATTGATAAAATAAACAATCATCATCTTTCCCTTCTTACTTGACTTATGCTTAGTTAAATCCAATAATTTTAATGCAATTCTGATAAAATTGAAAAATAGAAGCTTTTTGTTTTATCTTAATATCATTAGCATATAATGTATTAGCCCAGTTACACTATATTATTGTCGTTAAAATTTATTATTGCTATTTTAACTTCATAATTATTCAAGCAATGATTATACCATTCATTGTTTTGGCTTGTACAATAATTTCAATTAAATCGTCGAAAATTAAGGATTTACGATATCGCTATATAATCGCATGCTTGCATATTATTAAGCCATTCGAGTATAACATTAACAATTCGAGAACGAAACAGAAGGTCTGTGATTTATATTAAAATACTGCTGGTAAATTTGGTAACTAAAATTTTGCAAAAAATCGCTCAATATGTATATGTGAAAAAAAAAATCAAATTTCAATTATTGAACTCTAAAATTAATTCTAAAATTTATGATGAAATCTGTAATAACAGTATAAAGAGTAACATGTAATAGTAGTTTGGTGAAAAAGACTTCTTGATATATGCAATTAATGCATTATCAATCCCGGAAATTTAGGATCACATCAAAATTGCATTTAAATTTGACATGTTTCAATTGCTTAGAATTGATAAGAAGGTCGTCAGCGCTTTTGTCACATCCATTTGTGATAATATAATTGCTGCCACTAAAATTTGTCTAAACAATTACTATTGTGCATTGCTCAACGTTTTGATTCAAAATAATAAGAATAAGAATAACAATAACAACAACAATAATAATGATAGTAATAATAATGGTAAATAATAATAGCAATAGTAATTAGTAATAATAATTAGCAGTAATAATAATAATAATAGTAATAATAATGATAATAATAATGATAATAATAATGATAATAATAATAATAATAACAATAATAATAATAATAATAATAATAATAATAACAATAATAATAATAATAATAATAATAATAATAATAATAATAATAACAATAATAATAATAATAATAATAATAATAATAATAATAATAATAATAA